CACAGCAGTAAAACAACTTGCCAGCTTATTAGCGGAATAACATTTGTTTTTAATTCTGTGGCATGTTACAGGCTGAATAAGTAAAATGTTGTGGTGCTCGAGCGGGGAGGAGATCGTGAGGCAGACAGCAAAGTTCAGTTTGTAGCAGACTCTTTTACTGCGTGATACTTAAAGGGACGGCGGTAAAAAAGCTCAGTCGCACACACAGACTGGGGAGACATGCAGCCTTTAAAGAGACAAAAGTGGATACAGGCAATAGAGGCAGAGGGCAATGAGTCATACTCTGAAAACTGAGACTTTAAAGATTCGTCTTTTTTTCAGTTCGGCAGCTTCTAAAAACTTAAAATCCAAAACAGATCAAGATAAATCCGAATAATGGAATAAATTTGAACCGTTGCTTTACTCTCACTTCCGCCTACATAATGTGTCCGTTCTGTTCTTTTTTGAAACCGGCGGAAACGCCGGCTGGTTCTCAAAAGGCAGCAAGCGAGAACCAGCCCAGCACCGGCACCAGCACTGTGTTGGTGGAAACAAGGAATAAGTGGCCAGTAGAGAGTGAAGGGGTGCTGACCAGGTGTCAACCTAGACCTGCAGGACGGACTGTATGGGTTTGCGAGCTTTGACGACATCTTTGCCCCTCAGCCTTGAAGAGGCACAAGCTGACGGGGGACACCTCGGTGATGACCTACCGGGGCCACGGCGTTCTGCACACCCTCATCCGCTGCCGCTTCTCCCCTGAGTTCAGCACGGGCCAGAAGTTCATCTACAGTGGCTGCTCCACGGGGAGAATCGTCAGTAAGTCTTCGTGCGTGTTTGCGCTTCAGGTAGCATTGGGGGTTTACACTGTTTTACCCTCGCATGAGGTTCTATACTTTGACTGCTTTTGTTATGGATTTTCTCTTTTAATGTCAGATAGAGAACCTTTGCGTATTCCTGTGTATTGGCTCACACCTTCTTCGTTGGTTCTGATCAGTGTGTTCTAGGTGTGTTTCCTCCTACATTCCAGAACGCACAGGTGTTTCTAAATCTCCTTTAGTTCATCAATTCTATTTCCACATCCTGTGCTTCTGGGATAAGCTCCAAGCTTGCGACCTTCTATAGAAAGAGGTTTATAGGAAAGATTAATATTTCCCTGCTGTCCTGCACGGTGCTATCTGTTAGTCTTTGCCTGTATCACTGTATCCCCTCTCCCTTCTCGCACAGTTTATGACGTGCTGACGGGCAGCGTGGTGTCCAGGCTCTCTGATCATGGCGCATGCGTGAGAGACGTCAGCTGGCACCCGTACCAGGACAGTATCGTCAGCAGCTCTGTGAGTGCCCTGGCACTGCTGCCGTTTTCCCTGCAGCTTCCGTCTCTGCACCTGTCAGTGCTGAGCAGGACCTGAAACTGTGCCAGGGTCTGTCTGCGTGTGTGGGACCCCCCAGCCTGATCCAGGATCTGTGTGTCTCTGTGTGTCTGTGGGACCCCCCAGCCTGATCCAGGATCTGTGTGTGTGTGTGTGGGACCCCCTAGGCGTTTGCCAGAAACTGCCTTCATTTGTGGGACCCCCCAGTCTGTGCCAGAATCTCTGTGGGACCCCCTAGGCTGTGCCAGGGTCTGTCTGTGTGTGTGGGACCCCCAGGCTGTGCCAGGGTCTGTCTGTCTGTGTGTGTGGGACCCCCAGGCTGTGCCAGGGTCTGTCTGTCTGTGTGTGTGGGACCCCCAGCCTGATCCAGGATCTCTCTGTGTGTGTGGGACCCCCCCCAGCCTGATCCAGAATCTCTGTGTGTCTGTGGGACCCCCCAGCATGATCCAGGATCTGTGTGTGTGTGTGGGACCCCCTAGGCTTTGCCAGAAACTGCCTTCATTTGTGGGACCCCCAGTCTGTGCCAGAATCTCTGTGGGACCCCCTAGGCTGTGCCAGGGTCTGTCTGTGTTTGTGGGACCCCCCCGGCTGTGCTAGGATCAGTCTGTGTGTGCATCTCATTCTCCTGGTGAAGTGACGTGTTCCTGTGGTGTCTCCTCCTCTCTCGCAGTGGGACGGCGGGGTGCGGCTGTGGGAACACAGGCAGACTCACCCACTAGATGAGGAGAGGCTCCGGGATCGAGTGATTGACAGGAAAAGGAATTAGTCCCCTTAGTGACTGTCTATCCTGTGACAGCCATGATCACATCTGTAATTGCTGATTAGCAGACGGCACATGGTTCCAGGCTCTGCGACGGTGACGGCCTATAGGTATTCTCTCCTTTGTCAGATAAAATAGCGGATTGCTGGCCACAGCTGTGGCTTCCTGATTCACCAGCTGTGAACAGGAGCACATAACTATGCAGCACTTCAGCAAACCCAGGCGTGTATATATGTTCCAGACTTAGCATAGTCATTTTAGTCTGTGATCCCTTTTGTTGCTTCGCGTGAAAGCAGCAGCCAAATAAAGTGTGTAGAATATTACAGCTACGAAGAAGATTTCAGCAATGTGCACAGGAGCAAGAAAGGTATTATTTCAATTAATCTGATCTTTTAAATTAAGTATTTTGTAAACAAATGTGAAAATAAATTCCATCTATAAGAACAAATGTCTCTCTGCAGGTTAAGATTGAGCGTGGGGGTTGGGAAAAGTGTGTGGGCGTGTTCATCATTGTCTTTCTCTTGAAACAAAATTTCCACTAATAAAATCACTTTAATTTACACTTTGGTATGAGAATTTTGTGGGGTTTTTTTTAAATTAGTTAAAATTTCACAGTCTTTAATGAACTGTAACCATGTTACTTTTGTACAGCATCCAGAATAATTATTTTAATAGACCTACTTGTGAATTGATTGCAGATTACTCTGTCTCGTATTATAGATTTGGAGAAAGACATTTCCTTCTAGAGTTATTTAAGGAAAGACTTTCTTTAACGTTTCGGATCAAAGGAAAGGAGAACCCAACGAAATGTTCAAAATGGTTTGTCTGCCACGTAGTCTTCTCCTTTCCATTTATTTATGGCTTGGGGTGTGTTTGGTGCAAAAATGCATGATGGGATTGGTGCTTAGGCTGAAGAATTAATAGATGGTTGTGCAAACTTGGACACATCAGAAAATGGCATCCTTTTTGTGGATGAGGGGTGTTTTTCAGTATACACTACATGGACATCAGGCGCTTACACCCATAGGAACTTTTATAACATTACATTCGAAGTCAACAGGCATCAATATGGAGTTGCCCCCCCCCCCCCTTTGTAGCTATAACAGCTGCCACTCTTCTGGGAAATTTTCCAGAAGAGTTAGGAGTGTGTCTGAGGGAATTTTTGCCCATTTATCTAGAAAAACATTGGTGAGGTCAGGCACTGATGTTGGATTTGAATGACTCCCTGGCCAAGACATTTTGGAAAATTCCATGCTTCCAACTTTGTGGGAACAGTTTGGGGAAGGCCCTTCTCTGTTCCACACTATGCCGCAGTGCACAAAATAAGGTCCATAAAGACATGGTTGGGTGAGTTTGGTGTGGAAGAACTTGACTGGCCCACACAGAACCCTGACCTCAACCGCGTCAAACACCTTTGGGATGAACTAGAACAGAGTTTGCAGGCCAGGCCTTCACATTCAGCATCAGTGCCTGACCTCGCAAATGTTTTTCTGGATGAATGGGCAAAAATTCCCACGACGCACTCTGAAATCTTGTGGAAAGCCTTCCCAGAAGAGTGGCAGCTGATACAGCTGTAAAAGGGAGACCAACTCCTTATTGAGGCTCATGGATTTAGGATGTGATGTCATAAAAGTTCCTGTGGCTGTAATGGTCAGGTGTCCCAATACCTTTGTCCATATAGTGTATGTACTTCACCATACTTGTGGTCTCGCACACCCATTTTACCTCACCTTCCACTGCCAAGGACCAGTCCCAATACAAAGAACAGAAGTGCAGAGGACAGTAAAATCCCTGAATGTCGTCTTGTGTGGGGTGGAAAGTGCCCCCTCCAAATATCAAGGATGCACCAGTTGCACCCCTGCTGAACGAGAACAATCTCATCATTCATTACGCCTCAAGTTTGTTTTTGGGAGACAAGTTAGCAAGACCATTCTTGCCAAACCCATAAGTATGATCTTTGCATATTTGGCGCTGTAAAACACCTTAGATAGTGGGGGGCTTTTCAGCCTTTCTCCCTGATCATGCTTCCTGTATGTCCAGCTGGAGCCTCTGTCTCCGGGAACATGGAGAGCGCCCTCATCAGGATGGGAGGGCGATGGGGGGCAAGGCAGCTACTGGAATGTGACCGGTGGACTAAAATTACTGCTGAAGGTCCCAGCATTGGTGGGATGGGGAGGGAGTGGATATAGAGTGGTTGAGATACAAGGCCCCCGATCCCCGTAGGAATCAGCCACGAGGTTCCGCTGTAACGACGGAGCAGCGGAGGACAAAAGCACAGATGGCAGGAGCGTGATGAAGATGACATGTGAGGGGAAGGCCGTGCTCCTCCCCCCCCCCCCCAAGATTGACAGAAACAGGCTTCGACACCAACAGCTGAGGCTAAAATTGGAGCGGGTACAGCTAAAAATATACAGAGGGGGGCTTATTTAGAATGTCGTCGACATTGCAGCTGGGCAACAGAATATAGCAGATCGGGTCTGTTTCTGTCTGACTCTTCAAGTGCTCCTATATCCATTCAGGAAAGCTTTGTGATTTTGCGTATAAAAAGCATTTTTGGAAAGAAATGCGAAATGACACAAGTGCTGTAGGTTGCTTAATAAGAATGAACATTGGTCTTGCGTGGCCAATTGGATGGAGCTGTACCCTACAACTGATTTTAATTTGCCAGCCGTTCAGCTAGCCTTGAAATCCACCCTCCCCCCAGTAACTGAAACCAGTCACTGGTGCTCTATTTAAATATCTTTTCGCATTCTTCCCCAGAATCAATTAGCCATTGTTTTTTTGGAATGAATTATAGCTCATCTGAAACTAATCGCCCTTCAACGCAACAGAGAAAAAAAAGTACTGTAAGAGCCTTCACACAATAGAAGTTCAGTACACAAAGTGTGGCGCATTGCGGCAGAGGACAGGAAGCGGCCGTTTATTATGCAGCATGTGAGTCAGTCGATCTCGCACAGGTTGGTGTGGGCGCAGGATTTCTGTTAAGTGTGTAACACCATAGAACATTAGAACGTCGCCAGAACTTTATTTAACGTTGGCAGCGCTTGTGCAGGCTTTATTCAAACGGACATCGCTGCACGTTGAAGATTTGTTTGATTGGGTTGTTACATCCGTTCCATGCCGTCCTTTGCTGGCCTAGAGCATGTGCCATATATATCTGTATGTGTATTGTGTGTGTCACACATGCAGTCGTGTAATGATACCATGTGACACGGCACTGAGGATTTCGCACGCTTGAATGCGCACGGGGCCTGGGCACACGTGCACCCCATCACCCCTCAGCTTTTTAAAGGGGCAATGTGACACTCTCTGGGAACATGTCTTTTTCTGTAACTCCCTGTCAGGGGAGTGGGTGGAGTTGAGACTGTGGGAAGGGCAGAGGGTCCTCTTTTTTTATAACCTCTGAATCGCTGGAACGCAAGTGTAAAAGAGAGAGGGGTGAGGAGAATCGGGGAAGCCCAGCAGCTAGCCGCCGTCATTTCGCTGGGTACGTGGAGTGTTGGTGAGGGCCGTTCGAAAGGGCCAAGAAGGAACTGATGTGGATAGAAGTGCAGGGAGTTCGCCGAGAGACGGGAAAAACAGAGGGCAACCGGAGGAGTGAGCAGAGGCAGCACCTCGGTGGGAAATACCATGTGACCAAACGCGTCATGCGTACAGGAAGGACAGAAGAGGCTCAGCAGCGGACCCTTATTCTGCAAGCGACGACTGGCTCCTGGGCCCACTGACCTGTGCATCACCAGCCTGCAAGGTCATTAAGCTTTGAATCAGTAAGGCAATCAATCCTCTGGGCAGCGTTCAAGCACCCTTTCCATTCCTTCCAAGTGGAAGCTTAAAATTAATATTACAAAGGCATAGTTTTATATGATACAGATTGTCGTACTACTCAAATATATTATCGAGAGCACCTTTTTGTTGGATTATCACCAGTGGGTTACAAGACAACAAAAGAAAAACAAACCTTGGACTTTTGAGACAGTTCTTCGGAGTCACACACCCACTGACTCTAAAGGCAGGATCTGCCTACAGATGTTGCTGAACTCGGTGTTAGTGGCGGTGACTGACCTGGCCGCCAGACTGCTGGGTAATGCCACCTTCAGGCGCCATTTCCACTTGCTGCTGTCGGGCCTGGTTGTATTCGGACCAGCCCTGAGCTTGTGGGTCTCACAGTACAGCATATTTGCCAAGAAGAGTCATTTCCTGTACAGGTGAGACCCGGCCCATTGCATGCTGACATGCTTCCTCTCTCTCCACGCTGATGTTGAGTAGCCTGCCCTGTCCTTCTCTCCCGTCAGGATGTTCTTGCGCTCCGGCTGGGGCTGGACCTGCGTCTTCACCGGCTCCTTCGTCTTCTTGCTCTCCTTCTCCGTCCGCCGCTCCCTCGTCGTCTCCCTCCGCCACCTCTCCCGGCTGCTGGTGGCGGGCGTGCTGTGGGTCGGCTTCCGTCGCGTCATGTCCGTGCTGGAGAATGCCACGGGGAGCTGCTACGAGCCCCTGAGCGCCCCTCCGGATGGGCACCCGACGCAGGGGGTGGCGGAGCCGGGGCAGCCGCTCCTGCTGCTGCGCGAGGGGGAGACCAAGGTCACCTGCCTCGGGGGCGGCATGCTGTGGCGCGGGTACGAGGTCTCGGAGGATGCCTTCTTGCTCTGCATGTGCTGCCTGCTCCTGGCGGAGGAGACCGCGGTCTTCGGGCCCTACCTGACCCTGGGCGGGCCCTCAGGAGCCCCGCTGCGCCTCCTTTTCCTCTTCTGTGTCCTCCTGCTGGGCCTTTGGATCTTCTTGCTTCTCTGCCTGCTGGCATACTTTCCGCAATTCCCCACTCAGCTGGTAGGGGGCGCCTTGGGCTGTTTGAGCTGGAGGGGGCTGTACCAGGGCTGGTACCGCATGGGACCCAGCTGGTACTGTCCTGGGCGCCCTGGAGTGGGCCTACTGACCAGCCAGAGTCGCAAACATGGACATCAGTCAGATCCATACGGAGCAAACAAGGCGGAGTGGAATTAATGCAGAGAGAACAAAGAAAGGGAAGCAAGGAATAGTCTGGACTAAATGCTCTTCGTTTAGTGCATGTGTGCTGCAAAGTGTGATTACCAAAACAGGAATGACATGTTTGAAAATACATTTTAAAAGGAATATCTCTGACATTCCTAATCTTCAAACCCACGGTCTCTGTATTTATTGTAATACGATCCACTGCAGCCTATAGCAAACATAAAGGATTCTAAAGTAGTCTGGCCTTTAGCAGAAAGCATATGTTCCCTGCTGTGGATGTGAAACCAGATGCAGACTGAGGGGATGAGGCACGCATTCCTGCATTACCAGTGCTGAACATACAGACCGAAATTCACACCGTCGTGTAAGGTACTGACCATATAAAGTAAATGGGAGCGACTGGGAATGAAGAGTAGGCAGCCCTGTGTGATACATTACAGACAGCTCCCTCAGACAGAGTACTGGTCACCGTTAATGGGGTCTATACTGCCCCCCCCCCCCCTTTTACCAACATTAGCAGTCAGGTTAGCCCTTGCTAGCCTGCTATTATTAGTGTCTTTGTTAGTAGTGGAATGAGAAACATGTCTGAAGGACACGGCGGATGGTGCTGTGGTCTGACTTTGTTGCTGGGAAAGGGGCGGGGAAGTCCAGCTTGCCCAGGTCTTTGAGTTACTGGGCGCAGAGAGTGTTTCATTAGTGCCGGTGCTCAGCCCTGGATCGGAGCAGCCTTCCTTCGCCACCTCAAACACTAAACCCAATACGATTAAAATTAATTTGAGTTAAACTTGGAATAAAAACAAATTGAACTATAGAAATATATATGATCATACAATCAGTTGTGTTGGATTTTTTTGACATGCATTCATGTAAATTACTACATGTAGCAAAAATGCAGCATACATGCGCTGAAAAATCCACTTTTTGGTCACTAAAATAGAAGTTTTCTTCAGAACCATTAAGCTCATCTAATAGGGTTTTTCTTACAGATAGACGTAACGAAGAGGTATCGATAGACAGTATTGCATTGTTACCTGTTTAAGTAATTACTAGTACGTTATCATTATTTAAAGACCGATTTGTGTGTGACGACATTCAAAGTCAGTGTCCTCTGTCTTTTCAAAGGTACCTGGAATATGTTGTGTTAGCTATTGACGATTTCTCTGTCTAACTAGTTTGTAAAAAAAAAAAAAGATGATTACAGCTGAAAATAATTAAGGACAGAACCCATTTCAAGCTGATAAGATACTCTTTTGCATATAGCAAGATACATAAAGTGCACAGATACAAAGACAAAACAAAGACAAATTTCAAAGACATATGAGGCAATTGTAAGAAGGACACAATTCACAAACAATAGTGCGCAGGGAATGAAGAAAAATAAGCAAATTAATGGTATATGTGGTATATGTGTAATTACACCAGACAGCACCAGAGTTTTGCTATGCAGCTGGGGGGCAAGGGCGGGCGGCCGAGTGACACATTGGGGGGGAGACGTTGTGGTGCCTTTTGACAGGAGGTCAGAATGATCCCCAGAAGAAATTTTTAGTACAACGTGGTCGAATGAGCTGGGGCCTAAATGCAGGGGCGTTGGTGATTTTGGGCCCCATGAAGGGGTATCATGTTGGGCCCCCCAGTCCAGACCAATCCAGTTATTTTTCAAATTTTATAGGCCCCCTGCCTCTCAAAGGACTTCATAATATGTTAGTAACTGGTCTGAAGCGCCATTTCTTTGAAACGGACGTCTTCCGGAGCTGAGGCGCCTTCCGCAGACTCAGGTACTGAAGGACCCCGTGGAGATGGCTGCCACGTCTTCAGTGTGGCATAACGACATAATGGAGAAATCTGTGGAGACGGAATTATCATTAAGATGATAATAGTGCTATTACACTAATGAATAAATTAATTTACAAGCCAAAAATACCCCAGTAAAAGTCTGCTTGTCACACTGTAAGATATTAACTCATCAGCATTCAAAATTAAATGTATGTTAAGTACAAAAACATTTAAACTTTACGTCGGGGGTCTCCAACTCCGGTCCTGGAGAGCTACTATCCAGTAGGTTTTCTATCCTACTTGGCTTCTGATGAGCCACACCTGCTCCTGGTATTTACCTGAGAACAGGTGTGACTCATCAGAAGCCGGGTATGATAGAAAACCTACTGGACAGTAGCTCTCCAGGACCGGAGTTGGAGACCCCTGTTTTACGTCTGGAGTAAATGTGTTAGTGACGCATGTGCAAATAGGTGCAGTATTTATAAAGAATGTTGGTCAGGCTTTCGGCTGGAGTTAATTATGTTTATTTAAATTTTAATCATTTATCGTACATATGAATTTCCATGCTTTAATGGCTGTGTTTGAGTATTGGTTTAGCAGGTTCCTCCGTTGACATGTCTGTGACCATCCTGCAGATGAGAGCCTGGTCGTCTTCACCAGCTTTCTTGATCTTGACATAATTCATGTTGATATCACGCAAAACGACTTGCCATTACTGATAAAACAAAAAAAACATTATCAGCTCCTTTATAGCTACATCCCAGTGCAAAATGATGCCCATTCCAGATTTATCCATTATCTTTTCACAGGTTAAATCAATTATCATTAAACTGGCATCTAAGCACAGATCCCACAGGGAAAATGAGAAGTGTTTTAACTGGATGCAGCGTGATGTAGAGGTATATCAAATCTATACACTCCATCACGTCAGCCTGACTCTTCCCTTTCTCTGAATATCAATCAGTGTTCTGTGAACTGCAGGGAACACATACGTATGTAACTGGGAGACGCAGTCAACGAGCAGTTGAGGATTTCATATGCGTTTGGATGTTAGCTGTGTTCCTGCACACAGCCAGTGTCTACCTCAAATACAGAACCACAGTGAGACACGGCAGAGTCCAGAAAGAGCAACGCATGGCACACACTTACACAGCGTGTCTCCAGAACCATACTTACAGAACTGGTGGTAATCCAACTCCTCTACTGATTGCTGAGAACTTCCTGAAAGGACCAGTCTGCAGACATGAAGAGACACACACACATGCACACGCACACACACAGACATGAAGGACACACACATGTACGCACGCACACACACACACACATGCACAGACATAAAGAGTCACACATGCACGCACACAGACATGAAGACACACACACATGCACACACACGGACATGAGGAGACTCACAGAAGCATACACACACATGCACACGCAGACACAATGTTCAGTTCAAACTGGAAATCTCAAGGCTCTTATATAAATAAACATATTGGATACATTTCTATTCACACTGTTTCTGGCGCATTTTAAAGCAGTGGGAAGTTTTACTCGCCCCCACACTAATGACGATAAATGCCAAGACGCACTCGCTCACCACATGTGGCTGCATGCAGGCCTGAACCAGTGTCTCATCTCTCACTGCAGTACCTCACAATGTAACACAAATATGTCACCAAAACTGAATAACGCACAAGACCATCATTTCTTAAACTTGGATATATTCAGTCAGTGCATGTTTTTACAATAATACAAAAAAAAAACTGTTGCTAGTGTAATTCTTGACACATTTGTAATGTTCACTAAATATAAAAAAACAATAAATATTTTATGTTTGGAAATGATCATTGAAATATGTTACTATAATGCATGAATTATTGAAACAATTAGTCTTAATTTATAATGTCTATGTAGAATCCTTGTATTTTAATGTGAGGATTAGCTAGGAATTCTGACATCCCTTCCTGTAATGCAGCACTGGTAAAATGACCCTCCCATCCCATCTGTAATAACATCTCCTGTAACATTATATTTCAAATTTGAGCACCAAAAGTACACAGAGAGCACAAAAGCGGTGCGCTTCCTTTAAATGTTGGACTGGGAGTATGGGGCTTTGTTAATGCAAACTCATAAAATTATAGGTGGCCACAAATGTGAAGGGGCCAATTTAAAGCTCGCTCCACGCTGAGTGGGTAGACCCCCTCCCCAGTCACCCACGCCAGGAACGCTCCCATCTCCAGCCACGCTAACACTTGGCATGACGGCGTCCATGTGATTCAACGTTCTTCACAAGTGTGCCTTTGTTACAAGCTTTTGCACAACCACAGAACAACATTTGGAATTGGATAATGGCTTTTTTTTTAAGATCTGTATATTAAATAGTGCACTCTGTCATGGTGTGGAGCTCTGTGATTTTTAACTGAAGTAACTGCTTTTGAATGCAGTATTAATTTTTGTTTGCAGGAGAAACAACTGCAGTAGCAGTAAAAAAATAAAAATACACGTTGTGTCACTGCAATGCGTGACAACTGCATAAATGCAAAATGAAAAACAACTCAGCAATGGAAGACGTGGCAGGGACTTGGACTACTCAGAGGTTATTTCCATCTTCAGTGATCCGCAGCAGCACCTAGAATGAGACCTGACAGAGAGTCAGCAATAAGCCCCCGCCTCAGTCAGTATGAAGACATCGGACATGTGATGCATTGAGATCAAGGACATGCAGGGAAGCCACGCAAGGATGAGCCTTTCCTGCAGCAGGCAAGGCAGATGCCTGGCAGATTCACTGCATGGTACATTGCCTTCACTACAGTAATTTAGCAAATACTTTTATCCAAAGTGATGAACATCTTTGAGAAAGCAGGACCACACAGTCTCCAGACAAATTGAGGTTAGAGGCCTTGTCCTGGACACAACGGTGAAATCACTCCTGCTGACCATGGGATTTGAACCAGCAACCTTCTGATCACAGGTGGACTGTCCTACCCTTTCGGGGTCTTGAGGTCCCTTTAACTTCATTATCTTCTTCACTTTCTGGTTGTAAACCAGCAAGCTGTAAGGTAGGCCTGATCACAAAGCAGCCCTGGCTACAAACTTTGTTACATATCAGACAGGAAAGGAACTGTAACTAAATCTGAGAAAAGTCATAATATAATTAACTAGACAAAGTGTTACAGCCCTGCAAAAGAACACTTTTGCTGATGTAATGGAGGGAAAAAGCCAAACATTAAAGAAGAATGTGCAAATTTATATAAACTGGTTATGCCTCAATAGAGCTGTTAATTTCAGTGTCTCATTTAATTTTATAATACAGTACAAAACTATTTATCTCAAGGACACATGAAACGCAAAGTTGAGAACAGCACCCTCTTGAGTACATGGTTAGAACTGCCGTTAGAAGCAATTCAGCCTGCTGGCTCGGATACAGTATTGACTTAGTGCTACGAAAAGCATTTAGCTGAGAGTCATCAGAGGTGTCACTAGGCTAACATTACCGAGCTTCTTCTTGTTTCAGACCTGTGATTCTTCTAAAAAGATATAAACTACATTTCTATGGACAAGAGAAATAAACTAACCTCTTTATCTGTGTCTAGCTCTCACTAACCCTCTTACTCATTTGTTTACCAATTTTTAAAATTTTCCATTTTCTTTACATTTTCGGCAGACATCATTTGTTTTTGCTACTCTTGATAATTCTATCTATCTATCTATCTATCTATCTGGTCACATATCCAAATGTGGTTGTGTTTCACAGGTTATTAAAAAGGGCAAATGTGTTGCATTTGTCTGCTATGTTTCCAGGATTTACAAAACAAAACCATAAAAGCAGTGTCCATTATCTTACAGGACAATGACAAGCCATACAGTGCTCTGGGAAAAAAGGTAAACGTCCTAAATCCAGACCCACAGCGAACAGTTTATTCTTACCTATTGAATAATTACTCACACTACAGTATCAATTAATGTAATGTTCCCCAGTCACCCCCATTTTGGGGATAAGAAGACTTTCACACGGTTTGCACTGAGGCTAATTTTCTTTCACTTCAAATGTGAAAATCCATATGTTGGAATGTATTTCCTTATCTAGAGTCCAATATGGCACAGAAATAATTAGCAAAACAATTTACAGACAGACTGATGCACATTGTACTTCAAGTCAGTTAGATCAACATTATCAAATCGTGCAGCTACAATCAACACTAATTTTAGATATTACTTGTGATTGGATCAGTTTCAAATTTCTTATTTCCAGATATTTTTGTGTGATTTTTATTCATTGACAAAAGTGTCTGTATATCTTGTCAACGTTTTTGGAATGATACATTAATTTGTATTTTATTGTAGTGTCATTTTCATCAATAAAAAATCTTTGACGACGAATCATTTTCATCATAGTTTTCATCAACAAGACACTGGTTCAGCTGTCAGGACATGTCCCTGCTACT